AACCCTCCCTGGAGAGTGTGATGGAGACTCTTCACCACTGAACCCATCAGCACAAATGTGAAGAGGTGTGAAGGGCTCAAGATAGCATTTTCTCCATTGTGTGAAACTTCACGGAGCAAGTTATTGCTGGCCCTCTGTATGTCGTCTTAGTCCTAAATTGGGGAAACTCCACTGGGACAGGTTCCAGGATCAGAGATTAACCGAGATTTTGCTGCTTGAGAAATTTCAAGTGAGTGCACTGCTGGGCAGCCCACAGGGTCAGCTTTTTTTCCCCCCCCCCCCCGGCTAACACCCCTTTTTTTTTTTTTTTTTTTTTTTTTTTTTTGGAGGGGGGTGAAGGGGCAGGGGATACCAGCTTGTTTTCCTTCATCTTCTCCCCACATCCACCCACCTGAATGCTTCCAAAATTAAGAAGAGCCAGAACACATGAACGTTCGTATATACAGTTCAAACATAACCAGTGTCAGCCTGTACATCACAGCTTCTAGTCAATCTCAGAATTTTCTTTGCATGCAAACGATCAGCCTATATGCTAGCTGTCATAAAATGTGTTTTTCCTTCTACGTACATGGGGTTTTACAGCATTCACTTTTGAGTGATCTCTAGCTGTATATTCATCAGCAAGGAGTTCACCCCTAAGCCACACTGATATATAGTACATAAAAGTGCAAGTGTAGGCAGCCATTGGGGACCTCTTTAAGCCCCTGAACATAGGGAGACAGCTCTTCTACTGCAATATATTCCTTCTTTTTGCAAACAGAGCACGTGAAGGTTTTCAGATCTGCACATTTTCTCATTGACAGTCTGAGGATACAGTATTTTGTATACGCAAGCATGAATATCAAAGCTTCTGTTGCAGACCTAGGCAGAGTCCACGCTTTGGATGACTCATGTCTTACACTCTTCCTTCTCTCCTCATTATTATAGCAAAGTGAAAGGCAGAAAAGCTTGCAACAGACACAGACAAATAGCAACATTCTCAATTAAAGAGGAGGAACATGAGCACAACAGTAAAATGGTATTTTTTCCCTTCTAGTTAAAAGTAATTTTGTACTGTTTGTCTCTTGATCAGCGCCCCTTGTCTCTCCATCAGACAAAAAGCACATAGAACAACTCCCCATAACTGCTGTGTCTACAACAACCTCTAATGCAGAAGAAAATCCATACAAGTGATGCGTTCTATCATGTATAAAACCACATGCACAAGCTGGAATCTTTCACAGTAGAATGCTGACTGTGATTTCCATGATCAGCACATCCAGACCAAAACCTAAACATATCAAGTCACGGTTCTAGAGTTCAGTCCAGTCCAACTCATTCAACTGCCCTTGTTTATGGCCTTTGAAGTCTGTCAGAAGAATACAAAATTTCTCATTAGGTTTCATACAAATACAATTCAAACAAATTGCCTTTTGACTAAAGCGTGTCTGAGACTACCTCACTTGAGAGGAGCTAAGCATTCTCTCAAGTCTGACTTCCATGGCCCCAGTTGCTGTGCCCAGCACTAGTTTGGACAATAGAGATGTTGAGCCATCAGAAAGAAGGGGCACAAGGATGCTCACAGAACGGCCCAAACTCCAGCAAAGTCAGAACTGTACTTGCAGGCACCAAGGACATTCAAAGAATCAGGCCACTTGATAGCATTTCTAACTAAAACACCATTTTGTTCCTGTGCTTAAACAATGGATTTTCCCTTGGTGGCTGAGCAGATTCCCCTAGAAACACAGTAAAAAAAACCCACATAGATCTGGGGCAATCCATAATCTAATTTCTTTATTAAAATAGAATAAAAGGAACCAGATACGGAGAACAAATGTCATTGTGTGAAGTACCTACACATACCCAGGTACCTAGGAAACAGCATCAACAAAATATTTTTTTGTATAGGCACCTTTATTCGAAAGTGTGTTTACAATGCAGTTAAACAAGTCATGATCTCAGGTACTGAAATTTCCACTCAGACCTCTGCTCCTCCCTGGAAGAAGAGAAGTTGGGGAAGTCCAACTTAAGTGGGAAGTGTAATTTGAGATGCTTTATTTTTTTTATTATTAATGTTTTAAGAACTGCTAGCAATGATCTACTTTGTGAATGCAATGCCCACTCCATTCCCACTGAGTTGAAACCATTTACAAGAGACACAGAAAGATTACTGAACACTATTTTTGTACTGATCAGCACAATGTTATTTGGCACAAGCACCTCTGTAAATATTTGTTGAGGACTGGGTAAATTTGCTGTGTACGATGGCCCTCAGACCTGTACTTCTCTCTGTCAAGGCTCACAGTTGAGCACTGAAGCTCAGCTGTGCTTCAGCAGAAATACAACATGATAGAGGCTGAGCTGACTAACAATGCTATCTTTCCCTTATGATCTTTTTGGTTTTGTTCCATGTTACCCTTCACAAACAAAAAGATGATTAATTTTGAGATGGAATGAATGTAAGGCTATTCCTGGCTGTTGGGTCACGAAGGGAATTTGTGAAGTGCATTACACAGGACTGGGCTGTGGCACAGGAAAGCCAAGGGGAGAGAAGGGAACTGTGGTCACCTTTCAGCAAGCAGGCAGAGGAAAAAGACAGGTTCAGCCTCACAAACGTGAAGGCAGTGTATGCTTGGGTACATGCAAGGAGGTCCAGTGGACTCAGTTAACAGTGACACTGGCAGCTTGCCATGGTATTTTGTTCATGTGTGCTTGTGATCCATGGGCCTAGAGATGTAATTACAGTCTCAGATTTCACAATACTACCAGTCCGGGAGATATTTATGGGTCTGATATGTGCAATCTATCTGCATTGCATAGTTTCAGGTATATTCAAGAAAACTCACTCACTCACAAAGAGGCACAGCCAGTCTGTTGCCTTTTTCTTTAAACCACACACCAAAGCAATACCCGTCAGTGGGTCTCACTACTAAAAATCCCTGAAAGGTCTGGGCAGAGCAGGTTACAGGCACAAGACTCAGACTCATATAATAAATACTTTCAGTAGTATACCAATGAACTGGGAACCTGGTTAAGTATTAGTGCTACTTGTTTTTCTGTCAATTTACTTGCTGCTTTCCATAGTTGCATTTTAAACTGAAGATGTTATTAAGGTCAAGTGGATGCTTTCTTCCTCCAGCAAAAAAGAAAGGTCAAATAATCTCTTCCACGTTGTTTATTTGTTTTTAGAAAGCTTCTGAAGCTTTTAGAGAATACAGCGTAACCTAAAAACCCAGCTAGAGAGGAACATTTCCATATTGTTGGCTATTTATATTACTGACTTATGCTCTGCTCAAACACAATCACCAAAGTATCACTATTTGCAGGAAAGAAGAATGACTGCCAGGAAGCAGCACACGGGATATAGTACAAAACTCGATCTAGTTGCCAAATGCTGTTCCTACATGAAGTGTAGGGAGGTTTCCATGTACTTCTATGAGCAGACAACACTGTTTTAAATATCCTCACTGCACAGTTAAGATGCATGGGAGAAAACAAGTCTGATTCTCATCATACTGACTTGGCTGTGGAATTGCTCCAGTTTATTCTGAAGGAATACCTCCCAGTTTACCATAGCTTTACCAGAGCTTTAGATGCTCTGCAAACACATTCTTCCTAGTCCATAATGTAAAGCACTACTTTCAGTATCATAACTACAGCCATCCCCTTATCAACGTACTGTATTTCTTCCAAAATAGCCCACGTTCACCACGAGAAGGGCTTCCGCCACTTTCATGCTATGACAACAACCCGTACACCCACTCATTTTCAGGCACAGACAAGTCCTAAATGGCAGGAGAATCAGGCCGACTGATTTGTTTTGGAAAATATTTAAGGACAGCATTTTGGAACTTCTGTTTCCAGAAATATTGGTGTTCCAAACGCAGTGCTTGTCCTTAACCAAGACCACTTGCCCTTGAGGCTGAGGGCAGCCAAACATATCACGTTACTGTGCCTGCTCACAGCCGGCTGCAAGGCTGCACAGGGGCATTTCAGTCACAGCCTCTCTATCTGCTGAAATGTATTTCTTAGAAGCATTCACTATTTACCAAGGGGATGGGAGTCAGCCTGCGATGTTTCCTTAACTATCATCATCCTAAATATTTTACTACTTACACTGCTCTCTGAAGGAGGATATTTGATATTGTCACAGACAGTTAGGAGCAGAGTGCCTTCTTACTACAGAAAATACAGACTTACTGTAAATCACAGTGAAACATCATTACTGAAGAAGCTTTGTACTGGGAAAGCTCTACAAAGAGAAAGAGAAAGCAGTGCCATACCAGTAAATGCTATTCTCTGTTCTTAGTCGGCGGGGGGGGGGGGGGGGAAAGGGGGGAGAAGGGGGAGGAAGAAATAGTGCCTACTAGGAAACAAGGTATTGCATGTTTGCTAAGTGCTTACCTAAAAAACTACGACCCCAAGCAGATTACAAGTGTACGTTAATGCTTAGAACACAGATCAGAATGTTTTTCCTTCCCGACACCAGCTGCACAATGCTGGGACAGAAGAAATGGCTTTAAAGCAGAAGGAAATCTAAATTTTGAATTCAGGCTCCCTCTAGCCCAAGCTGTATCTTCAGTATGAAGTGAGTTTTTGTGTTTAAGCTAGAACAGATATATGACATAGCATGCCATCTTGGCAATTGCTTTCCACACAGCTGTATGTTCTAATACTGCAACATTTTCAACCCCCCTCATACACATATTCCTTTAAAAGTTACACTGACAGAAGTAATTTCATCCTTCTGGCGAGTACTTTATGTCTGATTTTCTGTATCTTTAATCATTCAGACTCCAAGATCTCCTTTTTGCCTCAGTTCTAAGAACCACACGGTTAGATTTTAACCAAACCACAAGTAACATTTATTCTAGCCCTTTAATCATTCTGTTTCTTACTTTGTCTATTAACAAAGCCTTTTCTGTTTTCTTCCATTATAAGCAATCTTTGGTTTTCTGCTTTTTTTTAATTATCTTTTGCTTATAATGGAAAAATAGAAAGCAAGCTGTATTCCAACATACCTTGAAAGGAGAGTAGTATTCAGTCCCAGCTGTTTGACTTTTCAATAGCTTCACTCACACTCCAGCGCTCCCAAGAATCATGTCACAACCACTGCAGCTTGCAATCAGAAGCAGAGGCAGATTCCTCTCACACGCCCTTTCTCTTCTCCGTGTATCTGACAGCTGTGCACTTCGTAGGACTGCAGAAGGACTTGCCTCTCAGTTCCTTTGCCACTCTGATAAATAATCTCCTCCCTGCTATTAAGAGCATGCTGCCATTATATCTTAAAAGCACGTCACAGCTTGTATGCAGTAGCTGTGGGAAAGCTGCATTTATTTATACAGGAAGCTTGAGCACAGCACTTCCTACTTCCCATCTGAGTCTCAATTCAGCGGCAGGTGATTTCTTCAACCCTGTCAGATTCCAGCCAATGCATATCCTACGTTCTTATCTGGATATCCGTGCTGCTTGTAACTCCCATCTGTGCCCCAGCGAGATAAAACTGAAAGAGGTAACGCAATAGATGCAACAGCCCAATTGCCATTTAACCTGTTTCAGGATAGCAGTCTGTACGATCTGTACCCACTACCGGAGGACGATGCCTTCAACACTGCAACTTCTGCTTATCTCCACCTGTGAAAAATGTGGGCTAAAAGTGATTTCTTCACAAGCAAATCATCTAAACTCAGCAGTGCCAGTGTGATTTCAAATCTGAGTGCTTAGCAATGATGCTTGTGCTCAGTTTATTCTCACAAGACTACATTTTGACACTTTAAGATGTGCAAGAGGGGTGGGAAATACTGCAGTTCTGTATTCTGATCCTGTGGATGCAATGAAGCAGGAGGAGGTATCATATCATGGCACCAAATTCCCAAAAAATTTTCCTGCTGTAGGAAATGTACCACACCCACAAATAAGAAGTACAGACACACCAGAGTGCAGCGGGTGCAGAAAAACAGGGGGAGAAGCAAGTAGAGATGCTAATCTATAATTTTCTTTAAATTATGAAACAAGTTTACTTTGTACTTCATGCAATTCTTGCTGGCATTTTGCCTTCAATACTTGGCTGTGAAGACTGAGGTACAGGCATTTCTTCAGGGGTTTGCAGAAGCTCATAGCTGTGCTTTTACCTGTTTTCAGACAATTATGCTGCATCAGGTGAATTTAAGGAGAAGGCAGAAAGATTGCATAGCTCTAATTCAGCTTCCTCACACCTCAACATTACAGCTTTGTTTGAATTTACATCCACTCTTTCCCCTTTGGAATGAGCACAATCTTTCTCAATTTGACATCAGTGTAATTCTTTTCTCTGTGCAGGAAGGGAATAGTATCCAGCCACTCCAGCATGTGGGACCACGCTGATCCTACAGTAATCATCAGTTGGATCAGGCAGCCTAGAGCCACAAACCTCGCCACTTAAGCAAGTAGAGCACTTTATAGCAGTAACTTATCCTCAGCAGTCACCAATCCCAGACAGTACTCAACAAACACTTGGAATTCAGACCTACTTTTTGGGTTGCAGAGCAGTCATGAAAATGTGTGTGTCCAAGTTCATAACTGAAAAGGAGTGCTCTACAGTGGTTTGTTCTCCTCCATCTTCTGTTCCAATATGAAATTGCTTAAGCCCCTACCACTTTTTCACTACATCCCTTCTCTTCTCCCTCTCTCCCTTCCAGCTCCTGTATTTTCTTCCTGCAGCTGCTACCTTTGCTACTGTGTCTCATCACACAGGTACTCATTAGGCAACAGATGAAGTGCAGCAAGAAAACTCTTCTTGCTCAGCTCCCGTGTCCAGCATTACAGCACATCAATAGTAAAAGGACAGTTATCTCAAGGAGGAAAGTGGCGAGAGAGGGAGGATGAAGAAGGCAAGTCATTCTTGCAGGTGTAGGGAAGATGGTAGGGTGATGGGTTCAGAAGTAGAGTGGGGGAGCAGACCACAGTGGCATCTGGTTGGTACCCTCTGCTGGCGTAGTAAAACTAACCAAGCTTCACTGCGGTAGCCTCCACCAGCCAAGGAAAACAACTGCAAGTAAAGACAAATCATCTTTTCAGATATATGGTTAGTCCTGTTTGTATCTGGGGAGCTGTTCTTCTAAATTAACAAAACTAGATTAGTCCATTAAAATGCAGATAAATTCTGAAAGCTTCAGTTGCAAAAATCACATCATATTTTTAATTCGGTTTCCTACTCAGTATATCTTTGCATGGAAGTTACGTGACTACACAAACATGCAAAACTGCTTACTGCAGATTTCCCTTAAACTTCACAAAATTGGTGAGAAACATCAGGAGAGTTCCTCAAGACACTTAATTTTCTGGAAAATGTTAAGATGCCATCATACCAGTCATTGCACTTCGAGAATAGCAAATCCTAAACAGTGCTCCCTGTGTCTGTATGGAGGACAGTCACTTCCTGAAGCTCTGTGGGCAGCTGGTATTCCCAAGCTTCTGTCTTCAGTTCTGTATTTGCTTCTATGCTGCCTATCCTGGATCTTTATGGCAAAGGAGAGCTGAAGGTGCCATGGCACTGTGCCAGAACTAAAGCTGTAAGGATGTGAGATGATCAATGCTGATGATTCTTTCCGCCACCGCCGCCGAAAATCCTCAGCTGGACTGTTATGAACTCTTCTATCAAAATGATTTTTCTTCCAGCTGCACTTCAAGCCCAAGTGCTTCACAGTTTTGTAGAAGCACATTTTCTTGGCAAGTTAATTGTGTAAAGTGTTATGAGTCATGCTAAAAGTTCTATCCAGCTGAAATGCCTACATCTCTTAACTCACATTGACTGATCTCCTTTCTGAGCCAACCAATAAAAAAACACAAGTAGGGAATGTCTCACAGTGCCAGTCGTGGCAGACACTGAACCCTCACACCGTTTGATTTCTTCCTCAATGAACAGTAGCACAAGGCACAAAACAGAGAGAGCCCGATTAATTTTCTGGATGCATTTAACAGACACTTTTATGGCAGAGAGGTGGGGGAATCTACGAGTCTCTGCGATGATACATGCCAAATCACAGCCTCACAGTGAATTTGCATTTAACCGCCAGACGGAGAGAAAAGTTAATTACTAACATTGCTGTGTCATCCTTGCAGCTACTTGAAATGCTTACAAAATGACTAAGCCACATTGGTGTTAACAAAATTACTAATTAATTTATGACATAGTTGGGTAAAAAAGTAATAGTTTGACCCCTGCAATGGTCTCCCACGTGCCACAGAAAGAATACTATTAACAGCAAATGAAAACACTGGGTTAGTGTAAAACTAACACAGTTTCCTTATATGAAGGCTGCTCCAAAAGTAATGCCTGTTTTATTGTGTTGGCCCACAGTGTCATAGGCTCACGTTGGTGGTATGGCAGTAAAGGTTGAACTTTCCTGCCAGTATCCCATTACATTTTGTTACCACGTGGCAGATGGCAACAGAGGAGCAGGCACCTGAAATGGAAGTGAAGATGAAGCAAAGGTGTGGAATTGAATTTCTCCATGTGGGAAAAAATGGCACCTATTGACATTCATCTGTGCTTACTGAATGCTTATGGAGACCAAACAGTGGATGTGAGCACAGTGAGGTGGTGGGTGGTACATTTCAGCATGGAGACAGTGACAGCAGGTCAGCTCTGCTGGTGCAGATTGTTACTAGCACAGCATGCAGGCTCTTGTTCATCACTGGTGGAAACACTCAGCTAATGGTGGTGGTGATTATGTTGAAAAAAAAGTGTTCTGTAGCTGAGAATTTGCTTTATCAAACAGCATTCCTGCGCTCTATGTAGCTGTTGGAGTTTCCATGGAGATAAACAGGAGGCATTACTTTTGGAATGACCCATATAATTGGAGATAAGGAATCACAATTAGCCCGCAAGGAAAAACAAAAACCCAAAATACGAATTGTCACTACTCTCATTCATAGTTTTTCCAACTAATAGGAAATATTCTGAAAAATAATTGCTTTCCATAGACACAAAGTAAAAACAGGTTGTGTAAAAAACTTTCTTATTTCTTATTGGTGCGCATGCCAATTATCTGCTTTCCTACACACAAACAAAAGTATTTGTATAGGTCTATGCAAGAGATACAGTTTCACAAGCAGAACAGACACTGATGTGTAACATAACCAATGCTGAAAACAAAACAGGACTTTGCACAGTAGATATACATATTATCTGGAAGTTGCAAGCGTGACACCCTGATGTCCTGGGCTAAGGACAGTTTTCTTCCGTGGGTCCTATCTTATAGGGGCATTCTGCCCTCAAAAGTCATTTGTGCTAGCTTCATGTTGACAAAAAGAATCTCTATTCTACATATATGTGTGTATTTATAAAATTACAGAAACGATGCTAGAAACTAAACATTAGTGCAAAACCCCAGAGCTATGTAATAGTCTGAGTGCAGATAAGATTTTCTCAGAATACGTGCAATAAAACCAGGATTACACCTTTTCTTGTTTAAATAACCCTATCATTCTACAGATCTGACTTGGTATGCAAGTCACACTCCAACAAACCAGGCTTGAAATCTTTGTTACTCCCCTCAGCTAAAAGATACTAAAACTTTAGTAGTTGGTGTTTTGTAGTGAAATAAACAGAGTTAAATTATTTTAAAAGAATAGTAAGTATAAATCTAATGAGCTTTTTATTTTCAAATTAAAAATAGTGAGTGTGATGCTGCACTCTCTACTGAACATTTACAATCATTATGATCTGAAAGCAGATGGATTTGTCTCAGACAGTCACAAAAAAAGGTGGTGAGGTAACTTACAGTCATCTTGCTCTGAATAAAGCAAAATGCAAATCATTAAAATACATTGGCACAGCAGACCATCTCCTAACAAAATCCAACAAGATCTCTTTCACCAAGTTAAGTGCTAGATGAAAGAAACACAGCCTCAGCAGAAAACAGCACAAAGACAGCCTGCTTTACCCATCTGGGACAGCTGTGGTTGGGGTGCTCAGAAATCTTGGTTTACATGTCAAGGCTGATGGCTTTGACAGCACGTTTCTGGAGTGTTAGTGCAACTAGTCTTGGGACCGGCAAGCATTAGGAGTATTTTACCCATAGGCCATCATCATTCTTCCCCTTGACCTTCTCCCCTGGCAAGAGAAGAGAATGAGCCAGTCATTGGCTCATAAAGCAGTGCACATAGACCCCAACCCTCCATATGACAAGAAGAGCTGTTATGCTACCTCAGGAGTTGCTGGAAAAAAAGAAGGAAACCAGACAGCCTGCCTTGCTCTTGAGCTCACGTATAACACATACAGGCATGGAGTTACATGAGTCTTCTGAGGATCAGGCAATAGGTGAGAATTTATAGATGCAAGAGGAGACAGCAAAGTTGTCTTGCTCTTTCATAGCATATATATAAAGATTGCATGGGAAAAACTCAAGGCTTGATTAAATGACTTTATTTTCTATCATATATGCCCACAGGGAGCTTCAGAGCATGGCACGGACATGCACAGACATTTTTCCTTTTGACCATGTGCCCAAAGTGACACATTTCATTGACTTTTAACCAAGCGTTTTGGT